ATATATATATATATATATACTGCTTGTATTGTTATCCCTTCCTACATTACCGCATTGATGCTGTATCTACTAATAGATGTTATGTATATTTATTTATTTATTTATTTATTTATATATTTATTTATATATTTATTTATTTATATATTTATTTATTTATTTTGTTTTTATATTTTTATTTTTTCTATAGACAAAACACAAGTCTCTCTCCCCCTGTGATATTGCATTGGGGGCCCTGGGGGCCGCCAAGGCTGCCGCCCTGAAACCCCAAACCCTCAGCGCTCTGCTCAACCAAGCTCTATACCTACAGGTTAAAGTTTTAGGGTTTAGGGTTTAGGGTTTAGGGTTTAGGGTTTAGGGTTTGGGCAGCAAGGTGCTGCTGACAGATATGGTGATGTTGTTGCTAGTGGCGGTGCTGATGAAAATTAAACAAATAAGAGATGCGTGCAGCAACAAAAGTAAATTTAGGGTTTAGGGTTTAGGGTTTAGGGTTTAGGGTTTGGGGTTTAGAGTGTCTGTGTTGCAGCGAGGCTTCACTGGCCAGCAGCTCGTTAACCTCTTGGACGGCGTCGCCCTCTCTGGGCAGGCGAGAGAGGTATCGCTAACTAGCTAGCTAGCTAGCCAGCTAGAAAGCTAGCTAGCTAGCCACCCAGCTAGCTAGCCAGCTAGCCAGCTAGCTACCCAGTTAGCTAGCCAGCTAGCTAGCTAGCTACCCAGCTAGCTACCCAGCTAGCCAGCTATGTAGCTAGCTAGCTATCTAGCTAGCTATCTAGCTAGCTAGCTAGCTAGCTAGGTAACCACGGGTTGAACTAGCCTGCTAGCCAGCTAGCCGTGTGTGGAGTTAGATGACTAGCTAGCTAGCCATGTACTGAACTAGCCAGCTAGCTAGCTAGCTAGCTAGCTAGCTATGTTTGCACCTCAGTGGGGTGTACAGTAGAGCCGCAGTAAAACAAATTGTTGTGTTGAGGGGGTCTCTGCATGCAGCACACTGCGGCCTGGCTGAAGCTGCTTGAGGTGTACATACAGCTGGGGGAGCAGAGCCCCCTCTGTAGGGTCAACCAGCTGCGGCGCATCTCCTTCACTTTCTTGTTAGAGGTATACACTCAAACCCTAACCCTAAACCCTAAACCCTAAACCCTAAACCCTTGTGGGGGGTTCCACCGTTTTGCATTCGAGGGTTTGCCATTTAGTCGCAGTGATGAAGTACTAGTCAGCTTGTTCTCCTCTTCCTTCTTTTCTCTCAAGGGTTTAGGGTTTAGGGTTTAGGGTTTAGGGTTTAGGGTTTACGGTGTATTGTGGTTCTGCTGCTGCCTCACAGAGTGCCGATGCCCTCGCTGCTGCTCCGCGGTCTTTGCAGTTTTTTATTGAGGCTCATCAGCAGCCTTTCTCTGCTGTAGAACCTCAGGTAAACCCTAAACCCTCATAAACCCTAAACCCTAAACCCTAAACCCTAGTAACGCTAAACCCTAGTAAACCCTAGATCGCAGTAATCTGTAGATTCCAGCAAACCCTAGACCCCAGTAAACCCTAGCCACCGGCAAACCCTAAACCCGAATAAACCCTAAACCCCAGTAAACCCTAAACTCCACTAAACCCTAAACCCCAGCAAGCCATAAGAAGCATGTATACATGTTGTGTTTGTNTAAACCCTAAACTCCACTAAACCCTAAACCCCAGCAAGCCATAAGAAGCATGTATACATGTTGTGTTTGTGGTTTATTTGTTTCTGTTTCATTTCTATCTCTACTTTATTTATTTTGTTTCTCTAGGCCTATCACCAAACCCTCGTAAAAACGCTGCAGCGTCTCCTCGGCTTCTCTCCCTCGGGGCCCCAGCCCGTGGGGCCCTACACAGTGGATGTACACCTGAAGGCTGGGTAGGTGCATGCATGCAGCTCTGTTTCGCTTCTTTATTCGTCAGTCACCAAATAAATATTTTTCTATGGTTTAGGGTTTAGGGTTTAGGGTCTAGGGTTTAGGGTTTAGGGTTTAGGGTTTATACGAACTGAATGACAGCTGTTTCGACTAAAATACACAAAAAATAATAAAAACCAAAAAACGGCGGAGACAGAGAAGGTGTTTGCTTCCCCTAACACTGTGTCTATGCAGGGATATCGATGAACCCCTTACACGCTTGCTGCAGCAGCAGCAGCAGGAAGGCCTTGCTCCAGACAGCAGCAGCAGCAGCAGCAGCAGCANCAGCAGCAGCAGCAGCAGCAGCAGCAACAGGGGGCGCGACATCTGCTTGGACCTGTTGTCTGAGGGTTGTTACTGTCCTCTATCGGGGGCCCTGCTGGGGGCCCCCCTGCTGAAGGCGCAGCAGCTGCAGCAGCTGGGGTGTATCTACAGCAGCATCAGAAGGCGGCAGTGGGTGGAAGCAGATGCAGAGCAGCAGCAGCAGCTGCTGCTTCAGGCGCTGCAGCAGGCTGTTGATAAAAACAGCAGCAGCAGCACAGCTGCGTAGAAACTCATAGCCAGTTCTTGACGCTGCTGCTGCTGCTGCTGCTGCTGCTACTGCTGCTGCTGCCTTGCTGCGGCTGGCTTGTGGTGTTTCGTCTGTTGCTGTTGCTGCTGCTGCTGCTGCTGCAGCAGCCACAGTGTTGCTCGCTGTCTGTAGGTGGTGATGCAAAATGTTTGAAGCTAAGAACGGGTTTATAAGTTTCTTTATTCTCACTCCTTTGCCGGCGAGGGTTTAGGGTTTAGGGTTTAGGGTTTAGGGGGCGGGGGGTGGCAGCTCGCTATACTCGTTCGGCTCCTTTAGGTGGAGGGTCCCCGTGTTATCGAAAACCTGAAAATAAATAAATAAATAAATAAATAAATAAGAG